TACAGTGTTGGAATCCAACCTCATCAACCGGTATGTGGTGAGATAAACTAGGCCATATTTTATTCCAGAATTTTTTTTTCCATACTCGTCTTAATTTCCAGATTCTGTTTCTCCATATACAGTTGGAATTCCGGGGTATTTTCCCCATCATACAGTGCTGGAAATCCGACCTCATCAACAGGGGGGTGCAGATATAAACTGGAATGGCCCATTATACAACTCACATGATTTGCCTTCGAAAAGCACCAGAAAGAAATTTTAATGGAAAGACCACATCAAAAATGTTTCTCACTAAAATTAGCAAGGTGCAAATATTTTTAGTAAAAGAAATATTTAATATTTAATATTACAATAATATGTCCCTACACTCACCTGAATCTCTTGTTTTGTCACAGACGATATTTGTATTTTCTGAAATTCATTCACAGCAGATTCAACCTGGCTATGTACAAATGGAGTATCGTCAATCAAGACCCCTATCTTCACAGAGTCTTCACCAGAGTATTCTCTATGTAATGCTTCAATATAATACTTAGTGCCACCAGTGAGAGAGATTAATTCAGATTTCTGTTCATCAAAACTAAACCAATTTGATGTAGGTGAAGAACAGGAAGCAATCAGTTGCTGTAAAAAAAATACAAATGAGGAACAGAACAGCAGTTGGTTTGTCAATTGAGTAAAACAAACAAGAAATAAAATACATTGTTTACACAAAAGTACTTAGCATGACAACTGTGAAATATTAAGCATGATTCTTGTAACTGACAATCATTTTTCTTTTAAATAGTAATGGTACCGTAAAGAAAGAGTTAAAGGCCTTAATTTGGTTATAAAATAGATGTCAAAGACTGTTGAACAATTACAGTTAAAAACAATTAATAGTTTTGTGAATGATAAACTGAGCATTAAAGAAGGATTTTAACACTTTCTTCATGATAACAGCTCATTGTTTTTAAAGGAAATTTGCCCATTCACATTAGTCACAATAAACATTGTACTTTTAACTAGGCATCAGTGACTACAAAAAACCTATATTACAACTCCAGAAAGATTGAAATGTTCCAAAGATTATGCCTAAATTATTTATGGTATTTATGGTACTTCAAATTGAACAAATAGGTTTACAAGACACTAATGGCATATACATGTACCTTGTCACTCCTATTCTCAGTCTCACTGAAGTAGAGTTGAGCCTCATTATCGGCTATGATGAAGAATGTAAAGTCACTGTCATAAGGAGCCACAAAATATCCACTCAATCTGGAGACATAATTGTCACCGGCATCAGAACCAGACTCACTGGATCCATCAACAACAATCTCATCTAAATATCCAGGTGAAGATTCATCCAGGGTTGCAATCTCACTAATACTGGGGATGGAAAGAAAAAACAAATCAATTTGTAGTGTTAATAGTGTCTGGTTCACTCCTATAATGAAAGCAGTGTTTTTCAATTCAAAACAACTAAATATTGTATATCTTACATGTTGACAGTGGTGCCAGTCCATACCTCTCGGAGTAGTCCTCTATTTCCAGGATATGGTGACTGTGCTGCAGGCTGGGCTCCAGTCACACATGTGATGGTAGTTGTTGTGGTGATGTCATCAATGATACAAGGAACACCTGAGAACAGGAATGTATCCAATGGTCAGACTCATCAAACTCCCTCATGGCAGTTGACATGCTCATCATTTATCAACTTCGTTATATATTCCCAGGGAAGAAGGAGCCTTTCATGGAAAAGCTGTACAGGTATAATGTACCACCCAATCAGATGTCTATTTAACAGTATGACTTCACCTACCTCCTACTAAAACTGTAGAATCAGTATCAAAATGTTTTCCAATAATTGTCAAATGAGTTCCACCTTCAGTGCTGCCAGCACTTGGATCAACAGAGATGATTTCTATAAAACGGACATTTATTGGAATGTAACCATGGAATAAAAAATTAAAAAACAATGGCTTATCATTATATGTTATTAAGTAAAATTAAAAAATAGTTTTCACTAGTACTAAGAAATATAATTAAACTGTTTCTGGTAAAATCAAGAACAATTTGAATTAGGTTGTTTGTAGCGATAAGGTAGTAGATGTACTCACCTGCATGAGTCTGAAACATGTACAGCTTATTTTGTGCACTGACTTTCAACAACTGAGGTAAAGCCAAGGTACGTCCATAACCAGAAACGATCATAGATACATTCTGTGAGCCTGGAATGTAAACATTCAGTTTTTAATAAGTAGTCTCATCCCTTTTCCCCACAATATGAGATCATGGTGGAAGACTTGTAGTTGAGGGCCTTTGTGATAAAAAACATGTGGTACACTTTTAAGATGTACAAGTAAACTTCCTTTACAGCTCATGGTGCTTCAACTTGCCAAATGTACCAATGAAATGCAAAAATGGGACGATAAGGTGATTTTTTTTTGCTAAAACATTTCACAGCACACATTTCATTTATTATTTTTCAAAACTATGTAGATGATTTATATTATGGTACTTACCAATAAATGTCCCTCCTGGGCGACATTGGAAATTACCCCAAGTACTATCACTATCAAGTGTGATACCATATCTAATGAACAATAAAATAACAAAAATGGTGAATAAATTATAAAAGTTTTCTGCAATAAATGTAAACCACATTCTGACATGATCAGAAAACTATGCAACAGCAATGACAATAGAGGCGTAGGAAAATGACAGAAAACATCTAAGATGATATGGTAACAGCAATAGTAGGGAGTATTTCATGAAATTTGAATTCCTTTGAACACCCTTAAATTACTACACTGGTAACATTTCTGTTGAGGAAAACAAATTAGAGTAAATAAAGAATTATGATTAGAGTATTAAACTTTTCTAGCTTCATGTACTAGTAATATTTTTTAGAAATTTGATCACCACATTGACCCAGCAGAGCCTGTTAGTAAGCAGAAGAACACTACTGTTGTAGTAAGCTTCCTCTAATAATAAAAACAAACATGGCTTCCTCTAATAAAAAAACAAACATGGCTGCCACCAGGGTTTGACCGGACTCCACACAAAAAAGTTCGTTGATTCTGTTCTAAACTTTTTTTTGTTTTTGGCAATATCATGATTGCTGCGCGTCGGTCGAT